AGGCTGGTCAGGAGAGGTGGTAGGGGAAGGGGAGGAGTTGGTCGGTAGTGGGATTGTGGATGGGGGTAGCAGGCTGGTCAGGAGAGGTGGTAGGGGAAGGGGAGGAGTTGGTCGGTAGTGGGATTGTGGATGGGGGTAGCAGGCTGGTCAGGAGAGGGGGTAGGGGAAGGGGAGGAGTTGGTCGGTAGTGGGATTGTGGATGGGGGTAGGGGGCTGGTCGGGAGAGAGGGGATAGGGGAAGGGGAGCAGATGGTCGGTATAGTGGGATTGGGGATGGGGTTAGGGGGCTGGCCGGGAGGGGCTGGGGAAGGGGAGGAGTTGGTCGGTGGGAGAAAACCGTGCATCGCTAGCGGATCTTAGGAGGGAGGAATGGGGTCCATACCCCCTCCCTCCGTACTAGAATCCATAGAGGGAACCGAGTAAGATAAGAAAATCACGTAACAGTCATTTAATTACGTGCATTTCAGACCTCGCGAACATTTTAATTAATGTTTCCTAAATTTGGTTCTCACTAGCGGCCTGAAGACTATTAATTGTCACTTGAAGTACTAAAACACGCGGCTGGATTCCAATAAGGGATATAACATTGGGGCAAATGTAACCTCAGACCCCCCTCACGCTGGTGGCTTTTACGCTGGTGGGTGTGGGGCCCCACTGGCCCCGTTCCCGGATCCGTCAATGCTGTGGAATCGTCAACGGTAACCAGAGGGCAGCACAATAGGTCAGCTTGACAGAGCGTTTGTCGTGTTTGCCCGAGGGACAGAGATGGATGGGTGTGGATGAGTAAATATTACCAAGGGACACGTCAGTTAGAGTCAGTTCAAGAGACGAAGTTATAGATGTGTCAATATTAGCGAGGCGGGATAGCGGGTCAGGTTGGTGAGTGTTTATCACGGGTTCCGAATCACAGGGCGGTGTCAAGGTTGATATGTGAGCATTGCTCTCAGGAATGCATCAAGTAAGGATGTACTGTAGTACTAGTAGTGTCGATGTATCAATATATAACTATGGCGTTTTATCGCTGGGGCACACCCATGGGTGGGAAGCCCTTTTACAGTAGTCAAAAACAACCACAACAAAAGCAGCAGCAGCAGCAACACAACAAAAACAAAAAAACAATTACAACAACACCAAACACAACAACAACATCAACAGCCACTACCACCACCACCAGCAGGAGCAGCGGCGGCAGCAGCAGGAGCAGCGGCGGCAGCAGCAGCATCAGCATCAGCAACAGCAGCAGTAGCAGCAACAACAACAACAACAACAACAACAACATCAACATCAACATCAACAACAGAAAGCGTCAAAACAAAAGCCCCAAAAGAAACTACCGTAGCAAACAATGGCTGCTCGTGCGAAGCTACTCACGCACGCACTGAATGCACGTGAAACATTTGCATAAAATTTATATTTCCTATACCGCACTCTCGTGCAGTGCAGAGACCCTACCCTGATGGCCATCATAATATATCCCATAGCTCCAAGAAACGCTCCTGCTAGGGTTAGAAGTATGATTGTATATTATAATATAGACAATCAGTCGCACAGCCTCGTCGGGCTAATATATCCCCGTGCAGCTATCATACATATCCTGAACCGCACACGAGCGCTCTAGCTATAGTTTACGGCGATGGTAAAACGCAAAAATGCACCGGCAATTACCGGTGTTGTTACCCTGTGCGGAGCACTTGACCTTGTAAGTGCATTTTAGCGCAGAGCACGACTACTGCTTTCACACGTAATCTGCGCCGTACGTGCCGTCATTAGCTGAAACAGGAATCGTTGAGATTTCTGCTGACCTTCGTCGGCGCCTTGATTTGTCAGCCCCTCTTTTGATATATTGGCAGCACGAAGATGTCACCCACTTGCTCGCGAAACGAGAATGCAAGCAAATACATGAGCGCCCACACACACACGCACGCACACACACACACACACGCACGCGCACACACACACACGTATGCTGAAACTGTGCACACTCACGCGTATAAGCACGCGCGCAAATGCACGCGTGCAGTACGCGCGCATACGCACGCGTGTAACTATGGGGATGGGGAATCGGGGACACGATGTATAAAGGGACTCCCACCCTGGTTACCAGCCGGAGGCGCTGACGTGCAAGGCGTAATGTACAAGTATCAGCGTAAGTTTAATGACGTGCCAACACGCAAGGTGGCGTGACTGAGCTCACCGCACGCAGTCTCGTCTGCTTCTGCGAGACTCTCGTGCGGCATACCGCGGGCATGTGTGTATGCGCACGCACGCACCTGTTGAGCAGACGGGAAGAGAAGTTCCTTCCGTAGACGATGTGTGTGCGTGCGGGCGTGCGGGCAGGCTTGGGTGTGCGTGTGAGCAGGCGTTCCAGCGTGCGTCCGTGTGTGCGTGGCTGCGTGCGTGCGAGCGTGCGTGTGCATGCGAGCGTGCGTGCGTGCGAGCGTGCGTGCGTGCGTGTGAGTGTGCGTGCGTGCGAGCGTGCGTGCGTGTGTGAGTGCGTGCGTGCGTGCGCGGATAGTTGCATTCATTTCACCGCGGGCGGTTTCTCTGCCGAGAGCGCAGGCGGCGCCTTTTGTCTTTCTTTTCTTTCTTTCTTTCTACGAACTATAATAGGAGCGGGTATTAGAGGGTTGTGCTCTGGAGATCGGGAGAGACAGGTTCGAATAAAGGAGAGATCGTCGACTGTAGTGCAGACTGTGAACTAGTGCCTCGCTTAGCGTACATAACTGACGGGTTGTGCTGTTAAATGCCCTGTGGTCGCGTTGAGTGAGGGTAGACTATATGACAAGTACCGAACCGGCTCTTATTTATGTCTGTGCTTGGTAGCACGAGCATGAATTAAGCCTGAAATTAACTCGGTGAAAGAGGGGTTTTAAATTATATCTCGTATAACAGAAATATAAACCGGTATCCACTGTAGAGTCCGTCTATGGGAACCTTTATCTAGGCTCCACTAAGACGTTCGGAATTGACGTACGGAAGTTACTGTGTAAACCGAGTCACAGATTTTAGTAAGCACAGTGTTGGTCAATACATTGAAAGAAACCGAATAGCCCGGTAATATAAAGGTCGATGCAACCCCTTCGACTTCTTTTCAAACACATTGCCCTACCATTTTCAGCCCCCACAACACCTCTTGCTCGGCCGGCCACCAATATACCAATTTGCACTCAGATTTGTCGTTTGCCTAGACACGTACGATAGTACCAGGAGTACCGATACCAGGAGTACATAATAGGTAACTTACACACACTTTATGGTGTTATAATGTACCCATATTATTTATATCTGATATATATTGTAAGCGGGCGAAACCCCACACGCCAGGGAAAGTTATGGCAATGCGAGAACGCAACCGGTGTCAGGAGAATGTATGAAACAGGGACGGGAGAGTCAGCGGCGGGACGGAGGTCAAAGAGAGCCGTGACTCGAGATGGCGCCGTGTAGCTGGAAGCCTGGTCATTAATCCCTGAATCCTTGCGCATTGTGACAGCCTAGACACTGAC